ACCCTCAACAACCACAATACTAGATAAACATTCTCAAATTTACAATGGTCCCCAAACACGAAATAATACATGAATCTCAAATTTTACATCATCAATAATTCTTCATAAAACCTGGCCTTGTACTAGACTCTACTTCAAACACAACTTGATTCTGCACTGATGGGAAAAAGGGATAAACTTAATAGCCTAGTAAATAACTAACTATCACTACTAGTTGGACCAAGTATACAAAAAATAGTGTATAATCAATAACTATATTTACCAACAATTCAATTAATAAAACAATTAATTTGCAAGATAATTCCATGGCTGAAAAATAAATAAAATGTAACAACATATTCTAATTTAATTTAAGCTAGTAGCTTGTTTACTTTTTAAATTTTTAATAGGTCATGCAAATATTTCATTTCAATATCAAGTTTAATATATTTATATTATAATAATAGAACAATTCACAACTTGTCCTTTTACTTTTTCCTTTGACACTAGTGAAAAATATTGTATTCAAAGTTTACTTGCTTATTTATTTATTGATATTTAATTTTACCATTGTCATATTCTCTTATTGATTCTTACTTTCAATGTAGTTATAGGGCACATGCATGAAATAATTATGATATATCAATTTGATAAATTCTATTATTTAACTCACTATGCTCTTCTTATCGAAGAACTTAACAAAGTATTAGAAAAATATTCTTATATTTATACTTGTAATTATATTATATTATATTACTATGCAAGAAATGTTACAATTCTAATTTCATAAAACAAGTAAACATGACTTGGAATATCTGATACTTCAAAATTAAGTATCCGATACTCCAAAATTAATGAAAAAATAATTAAGAAGTATCCGATACTTTTAATAAGTATCCGATACGTATCTGCGAGTATCCAAGGAGTATCGGTATTCGATACGGATATGTCACCCTATTTGAAGTATCCGTACTTCATAGGCCCTAGCTATTCCCGAGGATGTTTCCATGGTTGATCCTCCACCCCCCAGTCCCTCCAATGGGTGAGCCCTTCTCCATGATGACGGAGCAGTACCATGCACTCCTAGCTGGCCAAGCTCACCTACAGCAGTCTGTAGACACACTATAGACATCCTTCCAGGACCACCGGGACCACATGACTACATTTAAGGTTGATTTCTATGCTCACCGGGATCAAATGGCCACCTTCCAGACTAACTTCTATGTGCACCACAGCCATATAGCGACTTTCTAGTATGATTTTCATGCTCACCGTGCTTAGACACAGCAAGACCTTTGAGACCCAGTCAATGCTTTGGGCGTTACTTGGTCATTTCCCCCCACCGTCGGATCTGTCTACATCTTAGTGGGGTTCTCAACCTCGTGCTTCATCTTGTAGTTCTTGGGTTCTCTGTGGAATTTTTGTTTCTGCTATGTGCAACTTATGGACACATTTCAGACTTCTGACATTCATTCGGGTTATATTCATCTATCTCTTGTAGATCATTTATATTTGTATGCTTGCATGCCATTGATACGAATGTAAGTTAAGTTGGGGGTGGGTATGTTTGCATGAGAAGTTGGTGGGTGCATGAAATTGTTTTGCTAATTGCATGACCTTGCATGACAAGTGTCTGCATATAAGTTCTTTATAGTATAATGTACACACTAGTCACATTTTGCACCATAATTCCTGATTTGCCATAGCATCTTCTGAAAATTGTGAGACACAATGATCATATGTTTGGGCGTATGTGTTGCTTGTCATTAGGTGTGTTATAGCTTTGGATCCATTCGGAATCATGTTTCGGTTGTTTTTCTTCCTCTATCGGAAAATATAAGTGAAATAATGCATTGTTAGCACACTCACATTGGTCAATGAGAAAGTTGAAGATGCATGACCGTCCCAGAAAGGAGATTTGTGGTTATGCTTATTCATTAATGGTGAGCAACAATTTCATATTTTAATTTGTTGGTTGGCATAACATGAGTCCACAGTGGATAGGGAGTTATTCGAGTGGAATTCTCACATGCACACTTTGATCTTCATGAGCACAATTCTAGTGAGGAGGGAATTTTGAGTTGTACACTACGTAGATGATGTGTCTAACAAAGTTTCTTGATTTAAAAAAAAAAAAATTTTTTTTGTCCTTTAACGCTCGTAACTTAGTAATCAGGCCTCATGCCTCAGTAAGTAGAGAGTGTTCATGTAACGCCCCAAACTCGCCTTTCTAGAGCCTGGTGCGTTAGCTAAAAACTCAATCAGTTTCGTCAAATGTTAACCCTCAACAACCACAATACTAGATTAACATTCTCAAATTTACAATGGTCCCCAAACATGAAATAATACATGAATCTCAAATTTTACATCATCAATAATTCTTCATAAAACCTGGCCTTGTACTAGACTCTACTTCAAACTCAACTTGATTCTGCACTGACGGGAAAAATGGGGTAAGCTTGATAGCCTAGTAAATAACTAACTATCACTACTAGTTAGACCAAGTATACAGAAAATAGTGTATAATCAATAACTATATTTACCAACAATTCAATTAATGAAACAATTAAATTGCAAGATAATTCCATGGTTGAAAAATAAATAAAATGTAACAACATATTCTAATTGAAAAGATAATTAAGTGATTCAATGCAAGTTTATTTGATCAAATCAATAGTTCGATATTCAATGGTTTGATGATTCAATTTACAAAACTCTAAGTCTTGATGACTACGGCCACTTAGCCCATGACAAGGCCCAAAACTACACATAGGCCGGTGGTAAAGAGCGCCCCCCCCCCCCTAAAAAAAAATAAAAAACTAGCTTCTGTGCCAATAATTAACCCCCGTTGGCTAGGGTCTAAATCATAGTCAGATTAGAGTTATGTTCAAAAATTCAAATAAATATTTCTTTTAACAATAACATATTCGATATTTTTAAGACACAATTTGGTAGAGGTTTTTCAAAATAGTTCCATAAAAAAAAGTCAGGTAAAAAAATTAATATGTTTGGGATGAGTTTTTGGGTTTTTACGAAAAAACATGCAAAAAGTAAACAGAATAGTCAGATTAGAGTTATGTTCAAAAATTCAAATAAAGATTTCTTTTAACAATAACATATTCGATATTTTTTAGACACAATTTGGTAGAGGTTTTTCAAAATAGTTCCATAAAAAAAAGTCAGGTAAAAAAATTAATATGTTTGGGATGAGTTTTTGGGTTTTTACGAAAAAACATGCAAAAAGTAAACAGAAAATGAAATCTTTAACTTTTCTGCATAGTTTGTTGGTTTTTTGACTTTTTTAGTGACTTTTTGGCTTTTAAGCTAAAATACACACCTCCCAAACAACGCAATTATCAATGTCAAGTTCATGTTCTGTGAGTTCGACACTAACCCGACTTGTTTATTTCTCATGTTATCGTGTTGTGTCATAATCGGACTTGTGTTAAAAAATGCTCAATCCTAACCCGATAACTTCGTGTACAATTCGTGTCGTGTTAACGTGTTGTCTCAAAAATTCCTACCCCTAAATAGGACAGACTGTTACCACATGGTTGAAGTCCTCATAATCAAAAGCTGATAATCCATTTTTTCTCAATTAATTTGCCAATAAGAGTGCATTGAGTCATTAACAAATCATGAAAAAATTGAAGTAGTAGAATTATCATACATGTCCCAACTAAGTTGTGTGGACTTTAACCAGATTAGAAAAGAGACGAATTGGATGCCCAACTTCCCAAGAAAACAAAAGACCCAAAAAAACAATATAGGCCCACCTCAGGGCCAAAACTAAATACCTAGCCCTATTCTTCGGTTTTCTGAACAGCATATTTGTCTTAACAGTGATTAAATACATAGGCATCAGAAAATAGGGCAGATTGTTATCACATGGTCAAAGTCCTCATGCTTGCAATTCATCAAGGATGAGACAAGTAAATGATTGGTTTCACCAATTCATACATATATAATAAGAGTTACAGGAATAGCATACTACATAACCCTTCATGAAACATACTTTTTTTTAGTCAATCAAACGCTTTACAAAATGCTATTTTCCATAATCAAAAACCATCACCCCACAATGGCTGACAAGTGACTCCAACTCCACAAAAGACAATCATTTATGCACGCGCGCACAAACAAACAAAATAGGGTTAAAATTAAGTACAAAAACAGCAAAACATATGTTATCCATCAATTTATGAACAATGTATCTATGAAATTAAAAAGTAGTAATACTACTTTTTATTCTACTCCTCTCAATTTTGTAATTGCAGGTAAAATCAGTACCAAGTCCTAACCAAAAATTAAATGGTCCCACAGTTTCCAGAGTATAAGACTGTCAACTCCATACTTGGGCATTTATGAACTGATCCAGGGCCTTATCTCAAAAGGAAAAAAGGATCTATCAAGTAATTCATCCAAGTTTCCAAACACAAATCCAACTATACAATCATGATAATAAATTAATGAAGAAGTTCCAGACAATACAACACATATAATAGACTCCAATCCAAATTACTATACCAAGATCAAACAACATAATTTTGGTCAAATGAAAAAAAGATAAAGGTGTGTTGAGATTATAACAGCCCATTTGAATTGAGCGATTTGGTGAGAAATAATAAGGAATGAAGAGAAAGAGAACTCTTACTCATGCTGGTTTTACAAATTAGGTGAGAATTATTTTGCCAGTTCAGTTTCTCACAGAAAATGGTGTGATTTGGTAAAAAACAAAACTGAAGGGCTGTGTATTTTTCAGGATACCGAAATTGTCCATCAATATACAAAGGAAAATAAAATCTCACCCATATCCACATGCTTTTCGTTCTACTCATCCAAACAAGATAGTGAGAAACCACAATCATTTTTTTTTTCTTTTCTCACTTGAATGAGATATCACAATGATTTCTTTTATTTTCTTTTGTTACCTAATATATAGACTGTAAACTTTTCATAAAGATTCCCATGAATGTTATGCAACAAACCAAGTAAAGAGGGAACCAAGTAAAGTTTCATACCTTCTTTGGGTTAAGCAAGTAGTCATATAATGTATTCTCTGACCAGATAACAGCCATATTTTTGTTGGCATTAGAATATGAGTACCCAGGAGCTGTGCCAGACTGCCTTCCAAAAAGGCCATGCAAATTTGGTCCTGGATTTTTCAGTAATAACATAAAATTATCCTCAAATGTTGAATGGGAAGAAGGGGAAACTCAGAAAAAGAAAGCTACAAAAAAATATTTTGTATGAGGCCTCCATGTGTTGTGTGCTTCATGTTTTAAAATTTCCACCTCAACATGTCTATGTAGTGTCTATGTCCGTGCTTCTTAGTTTGTAGTAATTTAAAAAAAACAAATGACCAATTTAAACTATCATCCAACTAGTAAATTTTCTACATCTTAAGCTGTTTAATTCTACGATCACACATATCTAATTTTCTTATCCATGAATGAACTAATTCTGAAATTATCACAATTTATATTTTAAAAACAACCAAACAGGCGGGCAATAACTAGATTGTTATATAATTACAACAACTACAAAATCAAGTAACACCCATGAGAAAAACAAGCCTTACACAAAAACAATAAAAATCAAACTATATTATTATTGAAAATAAATACAACAAAATGTGAATTTAGCCAATTTTTCACTCAAATTTGAATTTTTTTTTTTCTTCAAGGATTAGATGAGATCATGAGATCAGAAAAGAGGGATTAGGGGGTCTCGTTTTGGGAACCTTGTTTGTGGCCAGCTCCTTTCTCGACGGTGTGGCACTGAGCGCACTTGGTCCTGAAGATCTTGTCTCCAGAACGTCGCCATTGCAGAATGATCTCTCTCTCTCTCTCTCTCTCTGAGGTTTGAGAACAACGCCCAAGAGCTTCTGACGAGATTTCTAGGACTTTCTGTTTGTGAGTAGAGGGACTGTTTTCTCACTGGTACCTGTTTCTGGGACTTTCTGTTTGTTAATGAATGGAGAAGTTTTTTTCTAAAAACAGAAAGAAAAAAAAATGAATGGAGAAGTTATTTGGTGATTCTGGAGCATTAATTAGCTCTCGTTTGAGAAATTGATTATTTTAATTTTTAATTATTTTAATTAGGAGTGTAATTTGGACAGATTCAATCTGAGCAACCCAAACTTTGTTCGAATTTTTTTAGGGGTTGAACAAGATATTTTGTGGGCTTGAACTAGATGGAAGTGATTTTGAGGCTTAGGCCGCGAGTTGGGTCGAACTATGCTTTGGGAAGGCCTAGTGTGAGCCGAAGAGTAGATGGAACCAGTCAAAGAAGTTTAACCAAACTACCAGAGGGCCCATATTCTTGAACCTAGCTACTTTTTAATGGCAGTCAACGCCTTGATCGAGCTACAAGAAAGATGATCAAACGAATCGAGAATAGGGATTTGACCAAGCTAGGACAAAAGTCGCGCAATGTCAGCATGGTGGCGCGTTGTGCAAGCTATGCACGGCGTTGTGTGTTGCACGGCTAAACCAGTGGCGGACAGAGCAAAAGTAGCCCTGTCGCACAATGGGACTCGAGCAAAGAGTTGTGCCATTTCGCTTGGTTAGCAGTGAGGAGGTGTTAAAGAATAGGCATTATCCTTTAGGAATGTGATTCCTAGAAAGACTCTACAAAGGAAAGTTAGAGTTCTATTATGATTGTGACATGCGGAATCTACAAAAACTCAAGCTAAATCCTAATCTTAAGTATTGCAATTCATACTCCCGAATACACAAAGCTTTTGCCTCTTTAGTCTGTTCACTAACGTAGGCTTCAAAGGAATTTCCGGCACACACCTGCGGGCAAGCTCACGTTTGTAGTTTCAAGTGTTGTGACGACGTTTGGAGGAGTGCAAGCTTGATCAACAGGATTATACGAGTGAAGATTATTTCATACTCGTATAATTGGCATCGTTTGTGGGAAGATCAGAGAACTTACCTTTTGATCAAGTTTTCATTTAGTAAGTTGTAATGGCGCACAACGAAGATCTGCTTTAATTCGCCACAGATGGCCAGACACCAAAAGCGAACATGAGGCATGATGATTTGCCTCCTGCTCTGTTTATGGCGGACTTACACCCTCAACGACAGAACCCTCACAAGGGCGCGCGAGAAAAGTAGGATTTGAGCCCTCACCACTTTCAAAGCCCAGATGGACAAAGGCAAAGGACAGATAACCAGGTTCTAGAGGATCGTGTGAGGAAGTAAGATGAGTTAATAAGAAGGATGGCAACAGACATGGAGGTTTTGAAGTGCTAAATGAAAGGCAAGGGCATGGCTGGTGTGGCGATCCGGAGGGACAAACACAATCTCGTTGTTCTAGAGATCGAGATGGTTATGCCACGCTCACACATTTTGAGAGTAGAAGCCTCAGGGCAGGCGACACTCATTCAGGAACTTCCAGAACTCGTTACTCTAGGCCTCAGAGGACAAGATCTAAAAGATCATACATTGAGGGAAGTTGTTGTAGACCTTTGGACACTCATCAAAATTCTTCGTGACATACTGAGTTCCTAGATCGAAAGATCTGCGGACTGTTTTGGAGAAAAAGGCACGAATGAGAGAAGTTGCCTAGGTGTAGAACCCCCAAAGGGTATCTATTTTGTAGCGATTGGCTCCTAAGACGCATGGAAGCATCGAGGTTGTAATACCAATGTTGCACTTCACCTAGGAGCCAGTAGACAGAGTGCTGGCGAGATTACAAAGCTCGCCATTCGTTTCGACGATAGAAAACGCATTGCTACCTTTAGGTTTTAATCAGATCTACAATGGGAAGTCAGATTCATACATGCACCTTAGCTACTTTCAACAAGTAATGACTATATACAGGTGGAATAATGACTTGATGTGCATCCTGTTTTTATCAAGCCTTGGGGATTTGAGCTTCACCTAGTTTGAGAAGTTATTTGAAGAAAGCATTGCCTCCTAGGCGCAGCTTGCAGAGGCATTTGTCACTAGGTTTAAGACAAACACCAAGATGCCTGTGGAGGTCGATCAATTGCTCACCAGTGACATGGGTGAGAAAGAGACATTGAAATCCTACAACAATAGTTATTGGAAGACGTTCAACCAAATTGGTGAATGTCCCACCAACATAGTGTAGACACCCTATTTTTTACGGCCGTTAAGACTTGGGTGCCATTGATTGATCACTCAATGATAAATGTGTACACTTGTCAAATGTTTGATTTCCTCAGTAGGAAGCCTCAGTTTGAACCTACAAACCTTGTGCCTTGTATTGGACCAAAACAGTGGTTTTTTCAGGCCTGAGCATCCAGGGACCTACAGACCCACTAGTGTGGCCTGCCGCTCACTATTAGTGGCCTACTGGCCACTTTGTAAATTTTCAGATCTTTTTGTTTGCTGTGCCAACTGTCTCCACAGGCGTATGCACCACACCAGCTATGTCTGTATAGATATTTCTGAGGTGGTCTCATATATTTCTATATATAAATGACTCCCTCTCATGTTTTTGAGGTTAGAAAATTTTAGAGAGCAAAAAGTTTTGAAAAAATATTTCTCTCTCTACATTTCTCTCTCTCTCTCTCTCTCTCTCTCTCTCTCTCTCTCGCAACCTACATAGCCTTTGCTTAGACACTCTAAACCAAACCTTGAGGGATCTTTGCTGAGGTGCTTAAGCTTGCATTTTAGCACTTGAGAGTGTGAAATTTGTGGTTTGGGAATTCAAGGGATCATTCCTCTTCAAGAGGTATACATTCTAATTCTTTTGTACCATCTCTTTCTCATCTTTTCTTGTTATTTTTGAGTTGTTTCTCACCTGTGTTTTTGGGCTAAAACTTGTGGTTTAAAGCCATTAAAGGTAGAGGGGTGGATCACCCTTCTTTGAACCTTGTTTCATAGGCTTTTACCCTTGTGTTTCCCATCTTTTTATCAAATTTTGTTGAGCTTTTTACCACTATTTTTCAGAGGTTTTTAGAATCATGTTTTGAAGTCCCAAAAATGGAGGGGGTACCGTTCCCTCCTTGTGCTTGTTTCCTAGCTTAATTGCTCCATGTTTTTAGTTTACTCTTTTAGCTGTTTTTACCTTAATTTCAGCACTATTTTGAGCTAACTTAGGACTATTTTTATGTGTTAGTTTCATTTATGCTTTGTATTGCATGCTTATAGTGTAATGGTCCTCATAGGCTTGGTGGTTTAGGCCTTAGCCACTGACCTATTTAAGTTGATAGTATTTATTTCTTGCTTTCCATACTTGTGTTCACCTCTAAGCATCTCTGCAATCTTCCTCATTTCTTAGCTTTTTCTCTTTATTTTGAGAGTTGCTCCAAAATGAAAAGCTTGAAGGGTGATATTGTGCTTAATGGTTTAATCCCTTTGGGGTACCAACGGCATGATCTCCCTTTCATGCCTAAAACAACATTTGGTTTGGTACTCCCCTCCTTTAGTAGACTTAAAGCTCATTATTGGACTTAATTGACTAATGAATGGAAGGTAATTTAAAATGGGGTAATTAATGGTTTAAAAATGAAACAAGATAATAAAATGGTTTGGGTTCAATCGGATGGCAGGCCACTATTAGTGGCGGCTGACCACTACTTATGGGTTGTTGGCCACTTTTTCCAACAAGGCAATGTACTGTTTCTTGCAGAACAGAGCAGAAATTGAGGTGAAAAATCAGTGCAATCTCCTGACTGTGCAACAGAAGCATCCCGGTAGTAAAACAGAGATCATTTTCAGATAGAAATCCACATCCATGCATGAGCCTTCCCTCGATTCTCGTGATTCGTTAAAATAATGTTGTAATAGTAGTATGTAGTACGTTGTACTTAAAGTAGCGGACTTGTAACTAATTGGTTGGTTTAGCTAGAATAGCTAGTTATATGTTGTACTTAATTAATTAACTAAAGTAGTTAGTTAATTTATGGTATTGTAATAATTCGCTAGTATAGTTAATTTACTTCATTTGGTATGTAATAGTTAGTTAATTTGTAGTAATTAGCTAGGACATTTATTCGGACCCTTCTGCACGAGGGCAAATTGTAATAAGTGTGTATGTCTTCCAACCCCACGTCTTTCTCCCTTTTATTTATTTGCTTGTGATGGATAAAATAGAACATCCTGTTTCATTTAGCATATTCCATGATTTGCATCCACTTGTCTTGCGTGCATCAAGGCTTGGTTCATCATTCTAACAAGCATTGTCGTTTACTACTTCGTTGAATACGTGTTTAAGCCGCATGCTATCAAATTGATTCACACGTCATAATTAGTGGCCGAGCCTATTAATTGTATTTTTGCATGCGTTGCATTAGGCATCTTTCATTTGTTAGGCTCATGCATTTTTCTAACTAGTTTCTCTTTTGGCTCGCCTCGGGAATTAGGGTAAGCTTTTATTTGCTTTAGCATATCGCATGCGTGTGATTGTTGCCATGTCAAGCATGATTACCATGAGGCTAATTGCTTAATTAATATAGCTCTTGAATGCTTGTGGATGAAGGCTAATTGCTTGAATTGGAATAAATTGAGTAATGTACATATGTGATCACTTTTGTGAGTGGTAAATATTCGAAACAATTTTTATACAAACATGAAATCAAAGAATTCCAATTTTTACAAATTATTCTATACTTGTGTGCAACACATAGTAAGTTTGCCTAATAATCGGAACAAGATCATATAATGTAAATAAGAATCACATTATGATTAGTAGAGGCCGATCTTTGATCCGGCAAGTAAGGTGCTCAATGCATGACCTTCCTCTCTCGTACCTAAGTTGCCGAGTTGAGACAATCTTGGTGATGACGGACACGTGACCTTTAGCACGAGTCATGGGTTTCCTAAATTTCTCAAAAATATTTAGGTGGCGACTCTGTATCTGGCAAAGTAGTCCATT